ATTTTACATGAGAGAGCATATTGAGTTGGTGTATATACTCCAAACAGAGTAGAAAAGGCATTGTATATTTTTTCTGACAGATTATATTCAGAGCAATTTTGCTTTTAACATTGGGGTGCCTAGATAATATTTGTTTTTTTTCTCGACTCACGTAAATTAGAATTTAGATATTTTACATGAGAGAGCATATTGAGTTGGTGTATATACTCCAAAACAGAGTAGAAAAGGGCATTGTATATTTTCTCTGACAGATTATATTCAGAGCAATTTTGCTTTTACATTGGGGTGCCTAGATAATATTTACAATTTTTTCGATTCGCGTAATATTTGAATTTCGGTATTTTACATGAGAGAGCATATTGAGTTGGTGTATATACTCCAAAACAGTGTAGAAAGCGGCATTGTATATTTTCTCTGAAATATTATATTCAGAGCAATTTTGCTTTTAACATTGGGGTGCCTAGATAATATTTAGATTTTTTTCGATTCGCGTATAATTAAAATTTCAGTATTTTACATGAAAGAGCATATTGAGTTGGTGTATATACTCCAAAACAGAGTAGAATAGGGCATTGTATATTTTTTCTGACAGATTATATTCAGAGCAATTTTGCTTTTAACATTGAGGTGCCTAGATAATATTTAGATTGTTTTCGATTTGCGTAAATTTAGAATTTCTGTATTTTACATGAGAGAGCATATTGAGTTGGTTTATATACTTTAAAACAGAGTAGAAAAGAGCATTGTATATTTTTTCTGAGAGTTTATATTCACAGCAATTTTGCTTTTAACATTGGGGTGCCTAGATTATATTTAGATATTTTTCGATTCGCGTAAAATTAGAATTTCGGTATTTTACATGAGAGAGCATATTGAGTTGGTGTATATACTCCAAACAGAGTAGAAAAGGGCATTGTATATTTTTTCTGACAGATGATATTCAGTGCAATTTTGCTTTTAAGATTGGGGTGCCTAGATAATATTTAGATTTTTTTATATTGGCGTAAATTTAAAATTTCGGTATTTTACATGAGAGAGCCTATTTATTTGGTGGATATACTCCAAGAAAGAGTAAAAAAGGGCATTGTATATTTTCTCTTACACACTATATTATATGCAATTTTGCTTTAAACGGTGGTGTACATAGAAAATATTTATATTTTTTGTAACCGCGTAAATTGAGAATTTAAATATTTTACATGAGAGAGCTTATTGATATGGTGTATATACTCCAAAACAGTGTAGAAAAGGGCATTGTATATTTTTTGGAACAGATTTTCTTTAGAGCAATTTTGCTTTTAACATTGTGTTACATAGATAATATTTATATATTTTTTATCCGCGTAAATTTAGAATTTTAATATTTTACATGAGAGAGCATATTGATTTGGTGTATATACTCCAAAAGAGTGTAGAAAAGGGCATTGTATATTTTTTCATACAGATTATCATTAGAGCAATTTTGCTTTCAGCATTTGGGTAATTAGATAATATTTATGTTTTTCTATTCACGTATATTTAGAATTTTGTTATTTTACATGACAAAGAATATTGAGATTGTGTATATACTCCAAAAGAATGTGGAAGAGGGCATTGTATATTTTTTCTAACAGATTATTTTTCGAGCAATTTTGCTTATATCATTCGGGGACATAGAGGATATTTATATTTATTTCTAACAGCGTAAATTTAGATTTTCAGTATTTTACATGAGAGAGAATATTGAGATGGTATATATACACCATAAGAGAGTAGAAAAGAGCATTGTATTTTTTTTCTAACAGAGTATCTTCCACGCAATTTTGTTTTTTACATTGGGGTGCATAGAGAATATTTATATTTGTGTCTAACCACGTAAATTTAGAATTTTTGTATTTTACATGTGAGAGAATATTGAGATTGTGTATATACTAAAAAAGATAGTAAAAAAAGCATTGTGTATTTTTTCTAACTGAGTGTCTTTAGAGTAATTCGGTTTTTAACATTGAAGTCAAACGGAAATACTTACAATTTCTCTATCCACGTAATAATAGAATTTCCATGTTTTACAAGAGGGAATATGGAGATGGTGTATATACTTTAAAACAGAATAGAAAAGGGCATTGTATATTTTTTCTAACAGAGTATTGTCAGAACAATTTTGTTTTTAACGTTGGGGTAAAAAGAGAATATTTATATTTTTAGTAATTTTGTGTTTAACATTTGTGTTAAAATGAGTATGTATATATTCTGTAACCGCATAAAATTAGAATTTCCATATTTTACAAGATAGAGAATATTGAGTCGGTGCATATACTTTAAAACATAGTAGAAAATTGCATTGTATATTTTTTCTATCAGAGTGTCTTCAGAGTAAATTTTTTAAGGTTAAATTAGAGTATTTATATTTTCTGTAACTGCATAAAAATAGAATTTTTGTATTTTACAAGACAGCCAATATTGAGACGGTGTATATACTTTAAAATAGTGTAGAAAAGGGCCTTGTATATTTTTTCTAACACAGTATTTTCATAGTAATTTACATTGTGTGTGGGGAGCAAATTTCTCAAATCCCTTTGAACATATTCTCCCTCTCCCCTGTTTTTCTCTTTGCTCACTATTGAATCATGTTCAGGTTTCTTGATTTCTTATCTTTTCCCTATGAGCATTTTAGCTTCTGTCCACTTCTACTTTCAGAATTCTTCAGCTACCAAGACCCACCTCCTCAGAGAGTTGCTGGAGATTTTAGTAACAAAAATTTTCTCTGTCACATTTAGGAGACGTGCTTCCTTATCTTAATTCTATCAAGCTGGGTGAATTTACACAAAACACTTTATATCTTAGAACCAGTTTCCTCTCTGTAGAATGTAGCTAACCTCTGTTCTGTGGTCACAAGGATCATCAAAATAAAAAATAATCATAGTTAATATGTGTGGCTTACTAACCATGTTCTAGAAACCATGTCAAGTGCTTTCTGCAGATGGTTCCACTTTTATTATACTATTGGAACTATCGTCAACCCTACTTCGCAGACTACTAAATTGAGTGTCTGAGCTGCTAAGCCACTTGTCCAACGATATACAGCCAGTAAGTAACAGAATGAGGATCAGCATTTGAGATAGAAATATTCTAGACAAAATGTACTGTTACAGTGAAACTAGAGTGGTATCATCTCAGATAAGCGTTCATGCCTGTTCGCTTATCGAATCGGCCGAATACATTCAATGCATTCAGGAGATTGGGAGACATTGTTTAAATTTTCCCCAAAACCCAGAAGAACTCAAAAGTACTCATTGTCTTGGCCTTATTGGTATTTGACTATGAATACAATAGATCCCACAGAAGCAAGTCTAGTAGAGTGGCCTTGGAAAAAGGCTGGGATTTAGGAGCAGGTTTAGGCAACTCAAGCCTTCTCGGCTTCCATTTTCTCATCTGTACTTTCATAATTCTGATTTTTAAGAGCACCTTTGTTGAAAGTAAAGGTTCAGTGAAACAGCACAGATGAAGTCCTTCCTATTTGGTCTGGCAGGTAGTAGTTGCTCAACACGTCTTGTCTATTAATGACGACCACAATGATCATAGTGGACTAATAATGAATTGATAAAATATGATTATGTAAGTTCAAATGAGTTTTGATCTCGCCCCTCTCCTCTGTTTCAGAGGCTGTATGGTTTTTATGTTCTACATTGTATGGCTTAACGTTGGCAGGTGGGGGATTTTGATAGACACATGATAAAATCAGAAGCCCCAAGACTTGTATTTTCATCACAGAAATGTATTACTTCCTTGAGTTGTGACCTGGAGAGAGTTACTTTGTCTAAGTTAACCTTACTTGAAAAATAATCATAAATATACCTGCCCTTTCTCGTCATCTCAGCCTCTCCGCAGTCAGTGTGAGGTACCATTGGTATAGTGTATATGAAGGGGTTTGCAAGCTCTGGAGTGCTGTATGTATGCTATTTTGCCTCTTCAATTGTGAGTGGTGTTTTTCCATTCTCCTTAAATGACCCAACACTACGCTCTTGGTAAAATAAATGCATTTGTGCATGAACATTTGGCAAATAATAAGAGCTGCATTTGCAAGAATTTTTCCCTTGAACAGCCAAGTGAGCCACTATGAGCTGCACTGTAGCAGTGACATTTACAATAATTTGTTCAGAAGAGCAATTGCCAACTTGCCTATTTGACTAGTATGGAGTACCATACGTTGTTTAGGGCGATGAGATCAGTAAACCAGCAATTTGGTAGAGCCATCAGAGAAGAGGATGAAAAGAAATGAATATCTGAGATCCTGAGTTTCCAATCAGATCAAGAAAAAGAAGCCTATAAGAATAGGTCCCATTTATTTGGGGGAGAAACATACACCGCTTTGTATGAAGGCTTCATTTTCTAGGAATATTTTCTAATGCTTTCAAAAACATTGTGATATATGTAGGACTATTCCCATTTTACAGATGAGAAAACTGAGGCTATGAGGTTTAAGTCACTAGTCTGCTCCTTCTTCCATTCTGGTTTTTAGAAAATGGTGCCACCACCTATCCAGTCACACAAGCCAAAGTCCTATGAGTGAGCTCTGGTTTATCCCTTTCTCTCTCACTTCTCATATCCAACTTACCATTCAGGCCTGCTGATTTTAGTTCTTAAATATCCCTTAGCTTCTGTTTTTTCTTTCCATTAAAATTCTCATTGCAGCCCTTCTGTGGATTACCTCCTGGCCTTCCACCTGTGTGTCTGTGTCCATGTTGTCTCCAGTCTGTCCTCCACGTAAGTCAGACCATGCCCCATACCTCCCAGTCCTTCTTAGAATGAGGACAAACCTCCTCACCATGGCCACAGTCTTCTTTCCATTTCTCTGTCCTCATGGCGTGCCCCTCCTCTCTGCTCTGCACTGCAAAGACTCAGCATCTTGTACTGGCCAAGGTCCAGGTCCCCCTGCACCACATATTTGCCAGGAATGCCAGATCGTCCTTACTTTGCCCACTTACTGCCCACTCATGCTTCTGATCTCGGTCCCTCCCTAGGGGAAACCTTTCCTGACCTTTGTAACTAAAGCAAAGCCTTCTCCTGGGTGCTCTCATTGTTCCAGAGACCTGCCTGCACAGCACTTGTACCAGTTAAACCTTTACATTAACTGGAGTGACAGATATGTTAGTGTCCACTGCTGCCTCGCAGGAATAAAGCCAGAAAAGGTAAGGCCCTATCTGTGTGCATTTCTACAGTCTAGTGTGCTTAGTGAGATATTGTTTAAGAAGAATGAGTTGGACATGACAGCATGGCTAGAAAGTGATGGATTGAGGATTTAAACATACTTCTTTCTGGTTCTAGAGAGTTGGCTGCTAACACTATTCACTTTGGGACAGTGTCATTTTAGGACTGATAAGGGTACTTTTTGCTAAGATCAAATATATTTTGGGTCCATCAGATGAAGTTTGATAAAAGTGGGTTATTCAGAACCCACTGATAAGCAGAGCTGCCTGACCAAGATTTTCAGATTTTGCATCAAAGAGAAAAGTAATGAAAGTGGGCTGATGGGAGGGGAAGGAGGGCTGAAAAGTGAAGCAGGAACAGCTATTTCTATAGTGCCCTTGACCCTGCCTTTCTCTGTTCTTCACTCTGGCTGAAATTGACCACCCTGAGTGCGTTCAGATAATGATAAATTATCTCTGTCACACTGTGTGTGTGTGTGTGTGTGTGTGTGTGTGTTTGGCTATGTACAAAAGAGGCAGCTTCTGTGAATAAATGAAGCCTTGTAATTAAGGAATTTGTTGTAAATGGCAAGATGCATTGGTGCTTGGTCCTTAGTACTCCTCGCTGAGGCCACATTTCCTTGAACTGGCTTGTATTTGCCACTGACACTACTAGCAGCAGGATGGAGGGGAGGAAGGAAGACACCAGGTGTTGCAATGCTTAGCGCCTGCTTTCAGCTTTGCTGCAAACTAAAACACTGACTGACTTTGGTTAACCCCCTAACCTCTTTGAGCCTCAGTTTTTTCATCTGAAAAAATCAATGATGGTTTGAATTTCTTCCGAATATGACATTCAGTTATCTCTCTCTCCATTGTGGAAGCACTGGGAGCTATTGTTCTCCTGTCTCTGGTGGCCGTTATGACTTCTGCATTATCAAGGAGCCCTCTCTAACCTAAATAACCCCCCAAAGAAATTAAGTTTGTAATCATTTCTGCCTGGTAAGTGAAATGACAAGAGAAAAGAGCTAGTTGTCAATAGCCCTGTGGATGGCGAATTAATGGGATCTGTGCAAACAGTTGCTTATAGAGCCATAATTTGCCTTTCGTTTTCCTTTGCAACTCAGAAAAAAGTGAATAATTTTCAAAGAGCCTCTCATTGAACATATTTTTTAAAAACATGTCATTGGCAAAAGGGGCACTTGGTTGCTTGATTGCCATATATCTCTGAGTATGTGGAACAGTTATTTTTAGCTGGGGGTAACTAGCTGAGAAGAAAGCTGCAGCATCTTGGAGGCAGAAGAATCTTTGTATGTCTTATGTTGGCATGGAGAAAGCAAAGCGAAAGGGCAGAGTATAAAAGGTTGTTAACTAGATAAGGGGTCAGCTGCATTTCCTCTGGCTGCTCAGAGGTGAGGCCCTAAAGCAATGGAGACAACATTGTGGGTGGGAATGTGTTTGCAGGGTCTAATTAGTTTACCCAAGAAAAGCAAAAAAGAGAAAGGGCTAAAAATATGTAGATTGTAAAATTCATGGCTTCATTTGCTCTTCTTTGCCTTTGAAACCTTTTTAAAACCTTATAGTAGAACAATTTGTAATCCTTGAAGCCTTTTTGCTACCACTCTTGTCAGCTTGTCTAAGGCCACCGTAACTTATCAGCTACTGGGGAAAGTTGTTTAAACTCTCTAAGCCTCCTTTTTTCCCACTGGTTCACTTAGGGGCACCAATTCCTAATGTTTCTGCCTGAGTTATTGTTTTTCAGATCCCATAATTGTTTGCATATGTGCTCTATAAGATGCGTCACCTAGCACACGTTGTGGGCAACCTCAGGTGTAGAAGTTAGGACATCTTTGTGCCTGGATTTGGCTGTTACTAACAAGACGGAACGGGGAGGAAGGGCAGAGTAGACTACTGTAGAATTTTTCTGGATTCTTTTGGTTTCTCCAGAAAATGATACTGTTCTTATATTTAAAGATAACTATCTGCCTAGGCATATTGAAATTCTAAGGTTGACACCACTTTGCATTGATCCTAGGGCAGGGTTTCAGGATTGCTGGAGCAGCATCATCCTTTTACAGTATAGATTTCAGTCAGCAGGCTGGTCATGGCCTCCTCAGTGTGCAATCTTCTTACTGATGGTGGGCGTCAGTGGGCTGGACTCACAGTTTCCATCTCTTAGGCTGGGCAGGCCCATGGTGGCAATGGTAAAAATTTCATGGGAACATACATCAGAAGTAATAAGAAATCCATCTTCTTAAAGCCTTCATAGGAGATTTCCTGAAGATTTATAAAAGGCACTTCATTGATCAAATGACTCTGATGTTTCCCCTCACTGGAAGAAATTCAGGTCACCAGCCCACTTAAAATCATTGTGTTCTCCTTTTGCAGTAACCTCTGCTCATATAATTTCTTTATGGCATATTATATACTATTAACTTAATATCCTGATTAGTGGAGCTAGCAAACACTCAGTATCACTATAAACTGCAGTATCATAACTGACTTCCTTTAAAAATCATCTAATGTTTCTTTAAAATCACTGGTGCTTTTGTAAAGTAGTTCATATTTAGGAATATGAACATTTTATCATGCTGGAAAATTATTTGAATTCCTTTTCATTTAAAACCTATAGCTTTCTATTTAATCTAGCTTTCACAAATATTTTATTTGCCCACTATAGAAAAATCGAGTTTAGAGATAAATGTAAAGTCACTCATAGCTCCATCCAAAAGTCAACAACTCTTAATATCATTATTTTTGTTCTTGTTCTCAGTATTTTTGCTGAATCTATGTTTCGTAGAGTTTCATCATATGTCAGATAAAACTGCATATATATGAGTTTTTAAACAATACATTTTTATTGTCATAAATGAAATACACATTTAATATGGTATGACTAGGACATATAGAGAGATATAACAAAGAAAATTAAAGTCATTTAAAATCTTACCAAATCTAATAACCATAAACCTTTCGATGTATTTTCTCAGAATACTTTTTCCTATGCCTTTTATATTTTCTTGATTATCAAGTACTTCAAGCGTATAGAAAAGACAGAAACTAATATAAGCAGCAATGGAAAATTTTAAAATATGGGTATTTTTCTGCATGTGTTTCAGATTGTTTAGTTTTTGTTGTCCTTTGCCCTCCCCACGTGTCCCTTTATTTTCCTGGCAAAACAAAGCATTACAGATATAGTTGCAGCTTCCTATACTCCATTTTATTTTTCTAAAACTTATTGATATTGAAATGTCTACCTCTGGTCTACTTACTTTCCCTGCCGAATAATACTTTACCATATGGAAATACCACGATGTACAATTACATGCATAGTGCCATATACATTTGTTTACAGGTTTCTTGGGAAGAATCTCTCTTACTGTGTTCCCAGAAGAGGGATTGGTAAATTGTAGGGGAGGCTTGTCTTCATTTTTACTATGAATTTCCAATTGTTTAAAGTAGTTGTAACAATTGGTATTCCCACAGGAAATGTGGGGAAACTTGTTTTGTGTTTGGCTTCACTTGATATTCCTAGGCTTTTACTTTTTGTTTGTCAATCTTATGAATGTAAAATGGTATGTTTTAATTTATATTGTGCGCAGACTTTATTATTCGGGACACATGTAACCTTTCTCATGCACCACTGTCATGGATTTGTTTTCAATTTAACTCATTTATTAAGCACGGAAAATTGTGAGGTTTCTCAAAGATGGCGATGAGAACTGCTGATGGATTTGCTGCATTAGATCCACCCTCTCCAGCTCTGGCCCTCTAGTGTCAGTATTTCTGCCTTCCATTTATAGTGCTTCCTCTTTTCAGGTTCTGGGAACATTCTGGCTGTAGAAATCAGTTGCAGTAATTGGAAGAACTTTTACTAAAGTGACTTACTTGTCTTCTTACTTGGTAATTATGCAGACTGTAAAATATATTTATGAAAAAATTCAAGTTATATACAAAACCAGACACTACCAAAGCATATACAAAGTTCATGATCCCTTTTATTTTTCTCTTCTTCCTCTTCCAATATATAACCACTTGTAGAGAGCCCCTACTATTTCCTTTGTATTTATGTTTATGTCCAAATGCAATAGATATTCTCTAACATATCTCCTTGGATCCATGAGAAGAAGGTGAATGTAATTTTTAAAAATGAATATTATATCTCTACATCAGCACAGTATTGCATTATACGGAAATAAGAGAAAGAATCTAACTCTTCCATGGACATTTAGGTGGCTTGTAGTTTTCTATTATTTTAAACAGTGTTGTGGAAAACATTCTTGTAAATGTCTTTGGACATCGATGTGAAAATTGTCTCAGGAGATATTTGTAGAAATGCTATTTACATGGTCTTTTTTGCCTACTTTATTCATTTTTATTTAGAACATTTTATAGAACATTAGGAATTGGTGACTTCTAAGTAGGTGTAAAACACAGTACCGGGCCAGGTATGGTGGCTCACGCCTGTAATCCCAGCACTTCGGGAGGCCGAGGCGGGTGGATCACGAGGTCAAGAGATCGAGACCATCCTGGTCAACATGGTGAAACCCCATCTCTACTAAAGATACAAAAAATTAGCTGGGCATGGTGGTGCGTTCCTGTAGTCCCAGCTACTTGGGAGGCTGAGGCACGAGAATTGCCTGAACCCAGAAGGCGGAGCTTGCAGTGAGCCGAGATCACGCCATTGCACTTCAGCCTGGGTGGCATGAGCGAAACTCCGTCTCAAAAAAAAAAAAAAAAAAAACAGAAAAAACACAGTACCTGGATTCTCTGAGCTTTATGTTCTGTTTGAAGCAGGGGAAGTGACAGTAACTACCTGTTAGGGTGATTTTAAGGATTAAATGAGATACTGTGTACAAAGTTTATAGCATGGGTTTTGGATCACAGCAGAGACTAAAAAGTTCAGTTTTGCCTCCTCTTAGTCGGTCCCGAACCCAAATATACTTTTAAATATTCTTTCAGCACAGATTTTAAAGTTTGATAGAAATAGAATTATATAGTGATCACTCCATATGTAAGGTTTCTTTTAGTCAAGAAAATGTTTTTGATATTCAGCCATGTTGTTGCACATGTCAATAGTTCTTTCCTTTTTTATCCTCCTATCTCAGGTCTTAAAAAAGGAATACTGCAAAAAAAAAATGAAACAATATTTCCACTTGTATTCGGTTTTGGTCTACAGTTGACATTGTTCTCAAGTATCACTAACAGGTTCCCATGGAGAGAAAAATTTATTTTCTGTCCACAACATAACAGGAATTATAACAGATGCAGAAGGCCTACTAGCCCTGTGTGAAAATCATCATGTTGACTATATTTCTCAAAAGTTAAACTCAGGTGTAGGGGCAGCTGTCAGTCTTTGTTTCCTCACTATCAATCCCACCACTTTTATTTTTTCATTTGGGGAAAAATAATAATGACTGTAAGAACAATGAAAAAATAATAAAAGGACAGTAAAAAGGTTGAATGCACTGGCTGTGGCAGGGAGCAATCAGAAATGGTTTGTTATTTCCCTTCACTTTATCAAAGTTGCTACGTGGACTCATTCTTACCCACCTGTTGGGTAGAATCTTTGATATTTTCTATTTCACTGAGCAATTTAAGATATTAAGAAATTCTGTCTAGTTCAAAACAGGAGCAGAAAACCAAGCACCACACTTTCTCACTCATAATTGGGAGTCGAACAGTGAGAACACATGGACACAGGGAGGGAACAACACACATTGGGGCCAGTTGGGGGTCAGAGGAGGGTGAGACGGGGAGACCATTAGGACAAATAGCTAGTGCATGTGAAGCTTAAAACCTAGATGAACGGTTGATAGGTGCAGCAAAGCACCATGGTACACATATACCTATATAATAAACCTACACATTCTGCACCTGTATCCTGGAACTTAAGAAAAATCCTGTTTAGTTTAATTTCCAAACTCAAAAATCTCATTCAGCTGAAAACTTAACCCTTTTTTACATATTTTAACACATAAAATAATCAACAATGAAAACAGGTAGAGGTTGAGCATCTCTGATCCATAAACCCCAAAATCCAAAATATTCCAAGATCTGAAATTCATCCACATCGATGGCTGAGATAGCGATATGTGTGCTTTCTGATGGTTCAATGTATACAAACTTTGATTCGTGCACAAAATTGCTAAAAATATGTAAAATTTTATTTGCGTTATGTGTATGAGGTGTACGTAAACATAGGTGAATTTTGTGTTTAGACTTCAGTTATATCTTTAAGAGATCTCTTTATGTATATGTAAATGTTCCAAAATATGAAAAAAGTTTAAAATCCAAAACACTTCTAGTCCCAAGGAATTCAGATAAGGAATATTCAACCACTACATCTAATAAGTCATGGATACTTTAAAATGAAATTTTAAAAGTATTTAAAGAGTCCAAAAGACATCAGGAGAAAAGGGACAGGACAAAAAGTGGGGAAGGGGATGCAAACAAAAACAAACAAAATAATGAAACAAACCATTCAATTGTAAGCTTGAATCCAATTACATCATTCAACCACTAATAAATCTATATTTAATAACGTTAAATGTTAATGAATCATACCACATACTCCAATTCAAGTGCAGAGATTGCCAGAATTGATTTAAAAAACCCACAAGACCCAGTGCTGTATATGAAATACACGCTTTGAATAGAAAAAAAAAGACAAATATACGTAGGTCTAAATAAGTACATTTGAATTTTTTTAAGACAGTGTCCTACTCTATCTCCCAGGCTGGAGTACAGTGGTGCGATCTCTGCTCACTGTAAACTCCGCCTCCTGGGTTCGAGCAATTCTCCTGCCTCAGCCTTTTGAGTAGCCGGGAATACAGAAACCTGCCACCACGCCTAGCTAAATGTTGGGGTATTTTTAAGAAAGCTGGGGTTTCACTGCATTGGATAGGCTTGTCCTAAACTTTTGACCTCAAGTGATCTACCTGCCTCAGCCTCCCAAAGTGCTGGGATTGCAGGTGTGAGCCACTGTACCTGACCCTAAATGAGTACATTTAAAATGATATACTATGCAAACAGTCAGTAATGGAAGTGTGAAGAAGCTATATTAATACCAAATAAAATATGCTTAAGTCAAAACAGTATTTCCAAAGATAAAGAGGGATAGTTCATGATTACAGAAGAGTCATTTCATCAAAAAATGGATTAAAAATAATTTGTGCGTCAATTTGCACAAAACAAAATTGAACTAAAGGAATAAACAAACAATCCACAATTTTTATTAGTGATTTTAATACCCATCTCCCAAGCAATTGATAGATAAACTAGACAAAATCTTAGTCAAGATGCAGATGACCTGAACAACACTCTCCACCATCTTAAACAAACCAATGGAAGACGACACCCAATAACCACAGAATACTGTATGTTTCAAGTACATGTAGTGTTCACTAGGATAGGTCACATGCTAGGTCGTAAAACAAGACTGAATAGATTAAATCAAATTGAATTCATGCAGTGTATGTTACCTGACCACAATAGGATTAAAACAGAAATTAACAATAAGAGAACTAGGAAAGCTCCAAGTACTTGGAGATTAAATATAATACACAAGCCCAAGAAGAAATCAAAAGATAGAATATAAAATATTTTATTCTAAGGGATAATCAAAATACAACATGCCAACACTTATGAATTACAGCTATGGGAGTTCCCAGAGGGAAGTATAGCCGTACATGCTTATACTGCAATAGAAGAAAAAGAGAAAGGTCTAAAATCAATGACGTAAATGTTCACCTAAAGAAGATTGAAAACACACACACACACACACACACACACACACACACAGAGCAAAGAAAACTCCAACGAAGTAGTAAGAAGGAAACAATAAAGGTAAAAGTGCAGAGATAAACCAAATTGAAGACAGACAAAATAATAGAGAAAACTAACAAAGCAAAGAAGCTGGTTGTTTTAAAATATCAACATTAATAAACCTTAAGCTACTCTGATCATGAAAAAAAGAGAGGAAACACAAATGGTCAGTATCAATATCAGAAGTGAAAGCGAAGTGAAACTATCACTACAGATCCTGCAGACGTGAAAAGGATAATAAGAGACTATCATAAACAACGTCATGGTGACAAATTCTGCAACTTAGATGAAATGAACAAAGTATCTGAAAAATACAACAAAAACTAACACAAATTTTGCAGAAAAATGTGTCTGGGAAAATTAAAAGATACATTAAACAAAAGAATATGCAAGCCACAGCCTGACAGAAAATGGTCATAAATCTATTTTCAGTAAAGAGCCTGATTTCCAGAATATAGAAAGCAGTTTTATAACCTGAAAATAAGGCTGGGCACAGTGGCTCACACCTGTAGTGCCAGTACTTTGGGAGGCCGAGGAGGATGAATGGCTTAAGGCCAGGAGTTTGAGACTAGTCTGGGCAACATGGTGAGACCCTGACACCTAGTATAAGTACAAAAAATTAGCCTTGTATGTTGGCTAATATCAATACAAAAAGTTAGCCTGGTATCAGCTAATTGGGAGACTGAGGTGGGAGGATCGCTTGAGCCCAGGAAGCAGAGGCTGTAGTGAGCCAAGATTGCACCATTGCCTTCCAGCCTGGATGACAGAACAACTAAAAGAAAAAAAGATAACAATTACTGTTTAGAAGGGGAAAAAATTTGAGGAGCCACTTTGCAAAGATAATATACAAGTGGGACAAAATGGTTAACATCAAGGAAATGCAGATTAAAACCACAGTGAGATACTACTACACACCCCACAAAATAACTAGGTTGGGAAAGACTAAACACCAAATGTTGGCAAGAATACAGCACAACTATAACTATTGCTAATGGGACTATAAAACAGTACAACTACTTTGTCAAATTTCTGGAATTTTCTTATAGAACGAATATACATCTCATCTATAATAAATTTCCGAGTTAGGAATCTACCCCAATTAGTGAAAATACATGTTAATAAAAATACTTATAGAAGACCACAATAGCTTTACTCATAATAATCAAAAGTTGAAAATATTTCTGGTGACCACAAATAGAGGATCAGGTAGCGAACTACGTTATTTCATAGCATGAAATACTACTCAGCAATAAAAATGAAAGAGATACTGATATGTGTAACCTGACTGATAAATATAAAAATTATTTTGTGGACTGAAGGGAGCCTTATATATAGGGTTATCACAACATGATTCAAGTTACGTGGAATTTCTAAAGTTGGCAAACTTAGTCTACAATGAAAAAAATCCAAGGGTACAGAGCTGGAGACTGAGACAAGTCATGAGGAAACTTTCTGGGATTGTATTAGTCCGTTTTTTCACTGCTGATAAAGACATACGTGATACTGGGTACTTTATTCAAAAAAGGTTTAAGGGACTCACAGTTGCACCTGGCTGGGGAGGCCTCATCATCACGGCAGAAAGTCAAAGGGACATCTTACATGGTGGCAGACAAGAGAGAAATGAGAAACAAGCAAAAGGGCTTTCCTCTTATAGAAGCATCAGCTCTTGTGAGACTTATTCACTATCACAAGAACAGTATGGGGGAAACTGTCACCATGATTAAATTCTCTCCCACCAGGTCCCTCCCACAACACGTGGGAATTCTGGGAGCTACAATTCAAGAAGAGATTTGGGTGAGGACACAGCCAAACCATATCAGGGATTATAGTAATGTTCTTTATTTATAGAGTTTTGGGTTACACATATGTATACTTTTGTCAAAATTCGGTAAATACATACTTAAAATTTTTGCATTTCATCATTTGTAAACTTTACACCAAAAGGAAAAAAAAAGGTACCAAATTCTAGTTAATGCACGTTGAGTTACTGATGTCTGCAATTTACTTTAAAATGCCTAAAAACTATAATGGATTACTGGATGGATAGAAAGATGGATCTATGGATGGACATGAGATAAAACAAGACTCCAAGTTGGTGAAGATACAGTTAAAGTGTTCACTGTAAAGTTTTTTCAACTTTGCTGTACGTTCATAAATGTTCATGATAAAATATCAACGAAAACAATTTTCATCCCTCCTCCTCTGTGACAGCCTCAGCCTGAGAAACCCACAGTGGGAAGGGAAAGGAGGGCAGTGTGTTTGTTTATGACCACCCACCCTCACTTCTTAGCAGTGCTTTCTGGCTCTTCTAGGGTTGGATAGGGGCAGGGAGAAAGGAGAGACAGAGGAACAGATAGGGCCTTATTGAATAGTTCAGCTGTATTATGGTGTCACATTTTAGGAGCAGGCATGCAGTTTTGGGCCCTTTCTCATGCGTTCCTGAGAAATTCTCCTGGTAGGGATCTCTGACAGCAGTTCACTACCTCAGGTAATACAGTTTCTAGGAAGCCACTAAGAGCCCTCCTACCACCTGCCTCTGGGGGTCCTGGGCAGCCTCTTCCTTACCCCTGGCAGGAAGCTTTTCAGGGCAGCGTCCTCCTTAAAATCAATGGTTTTCTCTATTATGGAATTCCTATTTGGCCCATATAAAACATGCAAACACCTTTGTTTGGCTTAACTTGAAGTACGGGCCACTCCCAGCTCCAGTCTTTATCGCTTCTATCTGCCCCATTATTTCAACTTGGCCACAGCCTTTTGCCTTTGGATTGTATTCAGATGGGATAGCAGTTCCCGTGTTCTCCAGCCTTCAGGGACGTGAGCTAATCGGTTTGAATGGTTAATTAGAAGTTCCTGTTCAGGCAGCTCATTAGCTTTAAAATGAAGCAGCAGCCTTTTCCCATCCATGAGAATTGGGTGAGGAGGGAGTTCATACAACACACAACCCTTTCAAAAGTCTTCAGTGTAATTAAAAAAAAATGCCCAGCGTGGTGGCTCACATCTGTAATCCCAGTACTTTGGGCAGCTCAGGTAGGCAGATCATAAGGTCAGGCTTTGGAGACTACCCTGGCAAACATGGGGAGACCCTGTCTCTACTAAAAATTCAAAAATTAGCTGAGTGTAGTGGTGGGCCCCTGTAATTCCAGCTACTCAGGAGGCTTAGGCAGGAAAATCACTTCAACCTGAGAGGCAGAAGTTGTAGTGAGCCGAGATCATGCCACTGCACTCCAGCCTCGGGAACAGAGCAAGACTCTGTCTTAAAAAAGAGAATTTTTAGTCCTGTCCTATAAAGGTAAGAGGTAGATAATAACCTATTCTGGCAAAACTGGTTCTTGCCCACACCATTTGAAAAGTCTAGAACCTGATTGTAAATGAAAGGATTCTTGACAACTACTGTTTGGCGCTTGATCTTTGACTCCAATGCCAAACTTGGAGAAGACAGCATGTTTCCACTGTTCTGAAAACAGTAGCTAATCTGTGCTTCCCTTTGCTGTCTCGAGTATAGTAAAACATTTATGAGGTACAGAGGCTTGCAGAAAAGTATTTTAGAAGTGGAGTCAGAACTCTACTGTGGAAAGGGGGCTGAGAGAATCATGAATCCGATTCCTTCTCTTGCCAGAGGAGACTCAGATTTGTGATGTGGTTTCTCTGGGTAAACATGAGTCAGTAACAGAAGAGATCAGTAAAACTCTGGTCCACTGCTTAGAAATTAGTGTTTTATGACCTCCCCTCTGCCAGGGAAATAAGCATGAAGACAGCGCTTTTCCTCCCACTATTTTTAAAACTCAGATGAGCAGGTGTTCTATTGCTCCACGTGGTGCGCTTTTGAACTGAGAGGGACTGAGCACGGAGAAGCCCGAGTAGCACTGCCCCCACCCCGTGCCACCTGAAACTCATCATGCTGCTTTCTTTGGAGCGGCTGCCCATTTAAAAGAAGACTTAAGGGGTTTCATTTGGCTCTGTGATTCTGCTGGAAGGAGGCCTGAGTAAGGTTGAGCTGAGGTTGCAGAGGAAAGGAGCCGTTTGTCCCACAACCTGAACAAAACAGAACTATGATGAAGCAGCATTGTCCATCTGAGGTAATACCCAAGGTACATTGCCTCATGTCAAGAAAATCAAGGACGTGAATACACATGGAGTGAGGTTAAGAATGGAGGTTTTACAGGCAAAAGAAGAAAAGAGAACATCTCTCTCTTCTGCAGAGAGAGAGAGGGGCTTCTGAGTGTGTTTTCTGGTGAACTGCACAAGGTTTTATAGACTTGTTGAGGAGGTGGTGTTTGATTTACATAGGGTCCAAATATGGGTTGGACCAGGTGAGAGCTTTACATAGCTCGTGAAGAAGCTGGCTATCCACCCGAATCTTCTTATGCATATAGGTTTTCTACTTGGCCAGTGCATGTTGTCTGTCCCTTACTGCACTTGTGGTTGATAAAGAAAAAGGAAGATAAAGCCGTCAGGTTGAGCATGCCTGGCACCCAAGTAGCCTCCTATTGTTACAGCTGCTGGCATTCGCCTGTGCAAGCTTCCAGCTTGCTTGTCTATATCTGCAGCTCGATTTTACAGGCCGCTCTTTGTTAGAAATGGTTTTGGGGCTGCTTTTTATTCAAAGGGAAACCTTACCAAAGACTTCCTTACTTTCAATCTCTGACGAAATAATTTCTTTAGAACTCCTGTATCAATGGGACTTCTGGATTACAGTTGAAGTAGTTTTGGCTGATCATCAACTCTGCCTCCACTTAATAGTGAATGCTTTTATTTTCTATGTTTCAAGGAGGGTCTCTTTGCTTCTTGCCCTTCTTCAGAATAGCAGTGTGGAAATTGCACTTAAGAACACCTGTTGGGCACAGTGGCTCACACCTGTAATCCTAGAAATTTAGGAGGCTAATATGGGAAAATTGCTTCAGGCCAGGAATTTGAGAGCAGTCTGGGCAACATAGCGGTACCCCATCTCTCAAAAAAAAAATTACTGGGTGTGGGGATGCATACCTGCTGCCCTGTTGGCCCAGCTTCTGTCAGGAGGCCATGGCAGAAAGGTCACTTGAGCTCAGGAGTTTGGGGCTGCAGTGAGCTATGGTCATGCCACTGTACTCCAGCCTGGGTGACTCCATCTCTTGAAAAACACAACAAAAACCAACAAAAGCCCACTTTCTATCTGGAATGGGAACCGGTAGAGCCTTATGACAGTGAGTGACTCAGAGGCAGAGCAAACGTTTGGCCACAGTTTTAATGGTGCAATTTGAACCCTGTGTTTGTCCTACTGACCAAGGCTGTGGCTGTCTTAGGGTCCTCCATATGGTCTGGCCTTGGAGGAGAAGAAACTGTTCTTGTTCAACACTTTCTGTTTGTGGAGCCCAAGATAAGAACTTTATGTTTGTTTCACAGATGAGAGGGTGCTAAATAGCTTGCTTAGAATCACACAAGTCAGAGGTAGGAGGGCCACGTTCTTTAACCAGTTTGTGAGTAGATGTCTTCCCAAGAACGTACAGCTGATGGCATAATGCTGACCTTAAGCCTAGGTTAATCCAATTGATGTTTAATGAAAAGCAATAGATTTCCTCCTGTAGCCCAAGAAAGAGCCACTTGACTACAGCTAATCGGTGAGAGAAATACCTCTATCAAAGGAATAGGTGATCAGAATTCATGGGCAGCAATGGGACATAGGAATGTGGAAATGAGAGGTGTGGGCTCCAGGGATGCTGGAGAAAACTCCTCCTCCAGTATTCCCTAACTCTCGAATGCTGCTGTCTTTTCAATACAAATACAAACCCACTCTGTTGTTTTGCACTGCCCCGTGCCCTGAATCTCTTGTTTGTGGACTGTATCCTCCAGTAACTTATTCAAGCAAGGATACACTGAAGCAAATTGTTCTGAAATATGACTTTATTTCTTCTTACACTTACATGACTGGTGGGGCATAGAATTTTTGATTGAAAATAATTTCCCATTCAAGTTTTAAAGATACTACTCCATTATTTCCCAGCTTCTGGTAGTGCTGTTGAGAAGCCTGAAATCATTCTGATTTCTGATTCTTTGTAAATACTGTTTTTTAAAAAACTTTTCTGAAAACTTAGGAGAGCTGTTTTCCTTTGTCATATATTGCAGATTTTCAAGACAATGTTCCTTGGTGTGAGTTTGTGTTCATGTGTTTAAACCTAGGAGGTTATGTTATTCAACTTGAGAAGTTGCCTTTTTTTTTAACTTTTATTTAAGTCCAAAGGTTCAAGCACAGGTTTGTTATTTAGGTAAAGTCTGTCATGAGGTTTGTTGTACAGATCATTTCATTACTCCGGTATTAAGCCTAGTCCCATTTAGTTGTTTTTCCTGATCTTCTTCCTTCTCTCATTCTCCACTCTCTGAAAGGCTCTAGTGTGTGTTGTTCTTCCGCCTGTTGTATGTTCCTGTGTTCTCCTCATTTAGCTCCCACTTGCAAGTGAAAATATCTGGTATTTGGATTTTGTGTTCCTGCGTTAGTTTGCTAAGAATAATAGTCTCCAGCTTCATCTATGTCCCTGAAGAGAACATGATCGCATTCTTTTGTGGCTGCCTAGTGTTTTTTGTTGTATATGTACCACATTTTCTTTATCCAGTCTACCATTGATGGGCATTTAGCTTGATTCCATATTTTTGCTATTGTGAACAGTGCTGCCATGGACATATGCGTGCACATGTCTCTATAACAGAAGGATTTATATTCCTTTGGGTACATACCTAGTAACCCATTACTAGGTTTGCTGAATCAAATGGTATTTCACTCTTTAGGTCTTTGAGGAATCATGACACTTTTTCACAATGGCAGAACTAATTTGCATTCCCGAATACAGTGTGTAAGTGTTGTTTTTCTCTCTAACCTTGCCAGTATGTGTTTTTTTTTTTTTTGCTTTAATAATTGCCATTATGACTGGTGTGAGATGGTATCTTATTATAATTTTCATTTGCATTTCTCTAATAATCAGTGACGTTGAGCTTTTTTAATATGATTGCTTGTTGCATATATGTCTTGTTTTAAAAGTGTCTGTTTATGTTCTTTGCCCACCTTTTTATGGGTTGTTTGTTTTCCTCTTGTAAATTGAATTTCCCTACCGATGTTTGATATTAGATTTTTGTGGAATGCATAGTTTACAAACATTTTCTCACATTCTGTAGGTTGTCAGTTTTCTCTGTTGATAGTTTATTTTGCTGTGTGAAAGTTTCTCATTTTAATTTGACCCCAGTTTTCAATTTTGCTTTTGTTACCTTTTCTTTTGGCATGTTCATGATGAAATCTTTGCCTGTGCTTATGTTTTGAATGGCATTGTCTCGTGTCTTGCAGAGCTTTTATAGTTTTTGGTTTTACATATCAGTGTTTAATCTATCTTGAGCAAATTTTTGTATGTAATGTAAAGAAGGGGTCTAGTTTCAGTCTTTTGCATATGGCTATCCAGTTATCCTGGCATCGTTTATTGAATAGGGAGAATCTTTTCCCCCTTGCTTGTTTTTGTTAAGTTTGCCAAAGATCAGATAGTTGTAGAAGCTTGGTTTTGTTTCTGGATTCTCTATTCTGTTCCATTAGTCTATGTGTTTGTTTTTGTACCAGTACTATGCCGTTGTTTCCTGTAGCCCTGTAATGCAGTTTGAAGTCTGGTAGCGTGTCGCTTCCAGCTTTGCTCTTCTTGCTTAGGGTTGCCTTGGCTGTTTTTGGTTCCACATAAATTTTTCAAAAGCTGGTTTTCTGAAAAAAATAATAAAACTCAACCTACTTCTTAACATTTTTCAAGAACCCAAATGAAATCATGACTGCTCTTGGAGATGGCACTCTGTATGTTTCAATTTACTACCCAGTAACTGGTCTATTAAAATCATACTGGTTAAAAAATAATAAACTTGAAGCTAGACCAATGAAGGAGAAAGGGAAGAGATTCAAATAACCACCATCAAAAACAATAAGGGCAATATTACCACTGACCCCACAGAAATACAAACCACCCTCACAGAATATGATGTACAACTGTAGGCACTTTTTTTCTTTAATTTTGAGATGAAGTTTTGTGCTTGTTGCTCAGGCTGGAGGACAATGGTGAGATCTCGGCTTAGTGCAACCTCTGCCTCCTGAGTTCAAGCTATTCTCCTGCCTCAGCTTCCTGAGTAGCTGGGATGACATGCATGTGCCACCATGTCTGGTTAATTGTGTATTTTTAGTAGACATGGGGTTTCTCCATGTTGATCCATCTTGTCTTGAACTCCCAATCTCAGGTGATCAATCCACCTTGACCTCCCAAAGTTCTGGGATTGCAGATGTGAGCCACTGAACCTGAAAAAATTGAGAAATCTAGAAGAAACTGATAAATTCCTGGTCACAACCACCCTCCCTGAGATGCAAGTTTGGTTTAACATATGCAAATTGATAAATGTCATCGTCACATAAACAGAACTAAAGAAAAAAATTACCCACATGATTATCTCAATGGATGCAAAAACAGCTTTTGATAAAATTCAACTTTCATGTGTGTTAAAAACTCTCAATAAACCAGGTATTGAAGGAACATACCTCAAAATAATAAGAGCCACATGTGACAAAACCACAGCCAGCATCATACTGAATGGACAAAAGCTGAAAGCATTCCCCTTAAAAATTGGCACAAGATAAAGATGCCCTCTCTCCCCACTCCCATTCAGCATAGCTTTGAGGGTGTTCTTTGCTCTTGGGTTTCTAATTCTTTTAATTGTGATGTTGGGTAGTTAACTTGAGATCTCAATTTTGTTTTTGAGATGGAGTGTTGTTCTCTCAACCAGGCTGGAGTGCAGTGGTGTGATATGGGCTCACTGCAACATTTATCTCCTGGGTTCAAGCAGTTCTCCTGCCTCAGCCTCCTGAGTACCTGGGATTACAGGTATGTGCCACAACACCAGCTAATTTTTGTATTTTTAGTAGAATGGGGTTTCACCATGTTGGTCAGGCTGGTCTCAAACTCCTGACCTTGTAATCTGCCCGCCTTGGCCTCCAAAAGTGCTGAGATTACAAGAGTGAGTCACCGCAGCTGTCCCGAGTTCTCACTTCTCGATGTGAGCATTTAGTACTATAAATTTCTCTCAACACTACTTGACTAGCTGCATCCCAGAAACTCTGGTAAGTTGTACCTTTGTTCTCATTACTTTCAAAGAACTTCTTAAACTTCTTGATTTCTGCCTTAATGTCATTATTTACCCAGGAGTCATTCAGGAGCAAGTTACTCAGTTTCCATGTAAGTGTATGGTTTTGAATGAATTTCTTAGTCCTGATTTCAAATGTGATTGCATTTGCTTTGTGACCTAAGGTATCTTCTATACTTATGAATGATCTATGTGTTGAGTTGAAAAAATGTGTATTCTGCAGTCATTGGATGAAATGTTCCTTGAATATCAGTTCCATTTGGTCTGTAGTAAAGATTAAATTTCATGTTGATTGGTTGGTTTTCTGTCTGGAAGATCTGTCCAGTGCTGAAAGTTGGGTGTTGTAGTCTCCAGCAATTACTGTGTTAGGGTTTATCTCTCTCTTTCTTATTTGCTGCGTGTGTCTGTTCTTTTTTCTCTCTCTCTGTCTGTCTCTATTTCTGTCTTTGGAATTCTGATCATTTTAGTGTTGAACCTGTTCAAATTTTCTTCCGGATTTCAACTTTTTTCTTATCGCTATTTCTGGAAGACATAAGGTTCATCTACTCAACTTTGTTGTCTTACTATTCTAACAAGAATTTTTCACAAGTTCTGCTGTCATATTTTTAATTTCTAAGCGTTTACTTTTTCTTTAAATTTGGTTCTTGTTTCATGAAAATGGTAACACTTTTATCTCTTCGTGAACATTCATATGGGTTTCAGAAGGTCTTATCTCCTAGCACAGTCCTCATTCAGGCTGCATTTATGTGTCTTCTTGCTCTGGTCTCGGCCATTCATGTTAGAAGCTTTGCTCAGATGCCTGGTGACCCTTAGCTGTCTGTGTCTGTTAGAAAAAAATGGAGCACTGAAAAGCTAAAAGCTGATGGAAGTTCTGTGATTGTAACATTTTGTGGGTGGTGGTCTTGCTGGGTCAGACCTTTTCTTCTTGAGCAAGAGAGATTCTCTCTAGAGAAAAATCATCTTAACTTCTGACCAAGTGTATCTGCCACCCTCATTGGAACTCAGTGGTAGGAAAACCTGGAGGATCTCAGTGTTCAGTGTGTACATTTAAGCACTTGTGTCTAGAGAGCTCCTGCCTAGAGACACCAAATTTTACTGTATAGAGAGGAAACCTCCACCCTGCCACCACCGTGGGATGCAGGCACCGATTCTAGGGAGAGGATCTGGGATCTACCTACTACTGAAACATAAATTCCCTAGGTAAATTTAGCTGCCAACTCTTGAACCGTTGGGGATCCTGGTTGCCTTCCTGCCACTGGCTTGGGATTTAGCATCTCTGGGTCTACTGTCAGGTGTCACTGACAGCTTCTGCTTGCCAGTTTTCTATATGCTGAAGGGATTGTCTTTATTTTCTTTTTATCTTTGTTGGTTTATTTATTTTTAATCATCCCGTGTTAATGTGGTTTAATGATGGAGTGAAGGCATATGCAGGTATTCAACCAAACATCTTAGCTGAAGTCTGTGTATTTCTCTTGTAGTAAAATCTTGATCATTCTATGTTTCAGTTAATCAAATTTTTATATATGCATTCTGATTTGGGGATGATGTGAGGGAAGAGAGAGAGAAAGAAAGAGAGACTCAGACGGACAGAGACAGGGTGAGAGAGAGAGGCTACTGTGACAAATCTGTGGGTCTGTGTATTTGGAAGTCAATAGGAATTTAGCCCTGTTTTCTGTCTAAAAAGCAGGAGTGTCCAGACAATGGATCTGGAACTAGGCTAAGAATCTTTGAGGCAATGGCGCAGATCCAGTTGTGTTCAATTTTTAGTCCTTAGGCTGAAAGGGAAAATAACGTAAAACACATTTTTAAAAATTCTGGCTGGGCGCGGTGGCTCAAGCCTGTAATCCCAGCACTTTGGGAGGCCGAGGTGGGTGGATCACAAGATCAAGAGATCGAGACCATCCTGGTCAACATTGTGAAACCCTGTCTCTGCTAAAAATACAAAAAATTAGCTGGGCATGGTGGTGCGTGCCTGTAATCCCAGCTACTCGGGAGGCTGAGGAAGGAGAATTGCCTGAACCCAAAAGGCGGAGGCTGCGGTGAGCCGAGATTGTGCCATTGCACTCCAGCTTGGGCAACAAGAGCGAAACTTCATTTCTAAAAAAAAAAAAAATTTCTGAAAGTGGTGTTTTCTGATTTGCCCTCAGATAATTAGATATAGAAGGTAGCCATACATTTTTGGCTAACTCAGCATTCGTTGCTCCATTCAGCGAATTCATCTTTATATTCATGTTCTTTCTCTCCAGCTTAATATCCAAAATTTAAAAGTGAGGAATGCAGAATAGTTGAACTAAAAGAAACAGATCAACCACAACCTGCCTCTTCTTCCTCTCACCCAAAGAAAACCATTGTTAACATTTTGCTATATTCTCTTTATGTACTTTTCTCAGGTACTTTTATTCGAATATATTTTTGATCATAAAATTGTCTTAGACAATAAGTTGTCAGAGAAGAACACCCACTCTTTTTACACTCCAGGCTTCCAGCTTGAAGGTGACTGACTTGGGAATCCTGTATTTTAACAAGATATGATGTTGATATGGAATCTTTTATTTGACTGTTCTGAGGTGTTCTCTTTTTAGCATACTCTCCTTCATCCCCTTCTTCCCTGCTATGCACACACATACACATTCACACATACATGCATTCTTTCTTTCTCTCTCACATGCACATTCTCATACGCAAATACAAGCATGCTCATACACATGTGCACACACACAGGCACGTTCATGCACACACTCACACTCATATGAACCAACATGCACATACACACTCTCCTTCATCTCTTTCCTCCCTGCTACACACACACACTCTAACACTCATATGCACATGTGCACACACACATATGTACAACATGCAATGTGTCAGAAGGCCATGTAGAAAATGATTGTTACTCTCCAAAAGGAAGGACACCCACACTTTTGCAATGGAAAAAAACAGCTCTGTTTTTGTAAAAAAAAAAAAAAAAAAAAAGAATTTTCTATTAGGCCTAGAAAGAAACTTAAAAAGTGTTTCTTCTTTTATCTAATCGGAACTTGTGTATGTGCACACACCCGTGTGACAGAAAGAGCCAGGGAGAGAGGGAGGGAGAGGAGGTGAAGGCAAGAAGAGAGAGGGCGATTAAAAAGCAAGTGCACTGTGGCAAGCTCGTCTGGACTAAGTGAGAAGCAGGCGGTTGTGGTGATGAGATAGGAGCTCGGAATGCTTCCTGGTACCAAGACTGTCATAAGTGGAATTGGGGTCTGAAAAAGTGACAGCAAAATTCAGCGTTCCTTTGACAACCACTCAGAAAATAGAATGTGAGGAAGCAGGAGGAAGGGAAGGTGTGGGGCCAGCCATGAGAATGCACCCCGCTGCTCCACGAATGCCTAGAAATGCTGGTCACTTATAGGGCACAGGTGAGGGGAAGTCTGGACTGGTGGCAGTAGTGCTGCCAAGCCATGTAGCCTGCTCTCTCAAGGGTGAATGTTCTTGCATAAGTAGTGGGGAAGATTATTCCCTAGTTTTTATAGGCCCCATTTGTCCTAGACACAGATTTTAATGTTCTCAGGTGATCGCTTGCTTGATTGTCTGTGTAACAGATCAGCAATCCTTTTTTTTTTTCTGGAAAGGTCTAGGCAGTAAATATTTTAGGCTTGGCAGCCCATATGGTCTCTGTCACAGCTACTTATCTCTGCGGTTGTGGTGTGAAAGCAGCCATAGAAATGGGTAATAAAGGAGTGGGGCTGAGTTCCAAAGTACTTTTATGAGAACTGAAAATTGCATTTTATATAATTGTTGACATGTCCCAAGATATTGTTACTTTTTTGAATTCTTTCACATTCGTGGCTCATGAGCTGTCTGACAAGAGACGACAGGCAGGAATTGGTGGATGGGCCATGGTTGCCCAAACCCTGTGTCCAAATCATGGCATTGTACAAGCAGGAGGGATCTCTGACCCTCTCTTTTTTTCCTCTTTCCTTCTTTTCAGTTTCTCATTGTGCTGATTTGGAAACCAGAAATCGAAAGCTCTGGGAAGTGAACTCTTTCTGACTTAACCTGTTAGTGGCAGTGTTAGGATAAAATGTCAGGTCTCAAGGAGCACTTCTTAGAGCCCAGATCAGACTGAATGCTGCTTTTGTGATTGCAGAAGGCATACCATCCTCTGGTACACTAGCTCCTTAGCGTCACCCTGAATCTGAAACTTAGTTCTTCATAAAGTCTTTTGTTCTATGATTCCTCAGTGCATCATTTGCTAATTTGCGCCAGTTATTCTGTTTAACACAACTGAGATATAGACATAAGCAAAGTTCCTACCCTTTAGGAACTCACTTCTTCAGGGCCTGGTTTTGATAATCCAGACAAAGCTACTTAAATGTAGTTTTATCCTTAAAAGCAAAATCGGCTGCACTTATGTAAGTTACAATAATAATTAGAATTTAGGAAAAATCCATTCTTAAAACAAGAAGGCAAAGAGAATAAAAAATAAACATCCAAGTCACCCTCTGACTGTGCGTTGGTTTTAAAACAACAAGACTATTATTTTAAGTGAACACAAGGAAAATTTTGCTACCAAGCGAGTACAATTTCTAACAGGTGATACATCGACTCCTCTGATTCCAGACATTTCCGAAAGTGCCCTTACTACCTACATTACTTCCTTCTGTAAAGCTCTACTGATTAAGACTTTATCTTTTGTGGTTGGATTTTTGCTTTTGGAATTACAACCTGCTTTTCAAGTCACATTTTGTAAATTAGTTGAGGTATCTTGCTGAGTGATAAAGTCTGAGTCAAAAACTTCCTGAAAAGTGCCTCGTGAACTCGTGAGGCATCATGGCAAAGATCCCAATTGTTGGACTGAGGCAGAGAGGTAGAAAGAAGAACACAGACTTTAAGGTCTGACAGATGTAAGTATAGGTCCCACCTCCACCACGTATTAGATGTGTAATGTTAAATGAGCTACTATACCTCTTTGAGCCTCAGCTTTCCTCTCTGTAAAAAGAAGATGTTAAACCTTTCCTTGCACTATTGTTGTAGGGATTAGAGATGATGTCAATAAAAATGTTTCCAGCATGCTCGGTATTCAACGTACCTTGGATAGACTTATTTGGCCAGTTCACTGCAAAGGGTAATATACACGAGTAAGATTTTTTTTTTCTTCAAAATAGACTTTTTGGGATTAAACTCTAAAAAAGTGTTAAATAAATGAATCAAGATATTTTTCATTTCTGTTGTTGAAGTATTTGCCTTCTTACGTTTGGTAATGTTAGGATTTTCCACAGAAGAAGTTGACACTTTCCTTCTTAATCATACTGGCGATACCATGTTTCAACACTAGTTACTATTTTCTTTTCGAAAAGTGTCATTTGTCTAGCTTCCCTTGAAAGATCAGCTAAATGTCACATTATCCCTGCTTCTGCTAATCTTTCAAAATGCTCACCACCATAGTCATAACATTTTCTTCATGCTCAAGTTGATTTAAAAAATGTTCTAAAGACAGTGTTGCTGAATATTTATTTGTTTAATAAAAATTAGGCTTTTAAATATAAAAATATAGATTTATTATAAAGCCTCTAGAAAGCAAAGAAAAATAGATTTGAAAAATACCTTGTTTAATCACATAAAGCTAGGCAGAGTTAAATCACTGTTTCCATTTTGGTACATTTTATTTTAATCTTTTCACTATTTTAATGTCCTTCTTTATATCCATAATGGTGATAACATGATGTATATATGAACATGTATATATTATATAAATATATAAAATACATAAATATATCTTTTAAAAATGGTATCTGTAGGCCGGGCGCAGTGGCTCAAGCCTGTAATCCCAGCACTTTGGGAGGCCGAGGCGGGTGGATCACGAGGTCAAGAGATCGAGACCATCCTGGTCAACATGGTGAAACCCCGTCTCTACTAAAAATACAAAAAATTAGCTGGGCTTGGTGGCGCGTGCCTGTAATCCCAGCTACTCAGGAGGCTGAGGCAGGAGAATTGCCTGAACCCAGGAGGTGGAGGTTGTGGTGAGCCAAGATCGCGCCATTGCACTCCAGCCTGGGAAACAAGAGCGAAACTCCGTCTCAAAAAATAAATAAATAATAAATAAAAACGGTATCTGTTTGTTTATTATATATAAATATATATCTAATGAGTATATATCTACATATCTACTTCTATATTTATATATCTCCATGATAGAAGTTGGAAAATACTGAAAACTGTAGAGGAGTTCGGAGAAACAACCTATAATCTCATTATACAGAAATAATTTTCTTCCCTTTTGCTTCTCCACATTTTGGCTTAGATCAAATTTAGAAATGATTTTCTTAACGTTTTTGGTATTGTGTTTTTAGAGTATCAAGATGTTGCTGCATATTCTGATTTTTATGTATAGTTGTGACAGGAACACCCACAAAAATAATTGTTCTAGAAAAGAATTTGTTAACAAATATTTTCTTCCAGGAAGTGGTGTATTAGCGTTTTAAAAGAAACATTTCTGGACGTCAAAGTAGACATTGGGCTTATATCAACAGCTCAATCTTTTTTAAAATACGCTTTATTTTTAGAGCAGTGTAAAGTGAATAGTGAGGCATAGTGGAAAGTACAGAGAGTTCCTACATTCCCACCTCCCCAAATGCACAGCCTCCTCCACTATCAGCCTTCCTCACTAGAGAGGTACATTTGTTACAATGGATGAACCAACATTGACTTATCACTGTCACCCATAGTTTATAATTGACATTAGGGACCATTCTTGCTGTCGTATATTCAGTGAGTTTTGACAAGGGTGTAATGGCATGTGTCTACCATTATAGTAACACACAGAGTAGTTTCATTGCCCTAAACATCCTCTATGCTCTGCCCATTTATCCTTCCCCACTTTTCAACCCCCAGCAATCACTGAACGTTTTGATGTCTCTATAGTTTTGCCTTTTCCAGAATGTCATATAGTTGGATTCATATAGTAAGTGGTCATTTGAGATTGGTTTCTTTCACTTAGTAGTATGTATTTGAGTTTCCTCTATGTCTTTTAATGGCTTCATAGCTCACGTGCTTTTTTTCTGCAACAAAAGCCACATTCAAAGATTATTGCTTTCATTGCTGAATAATATTCCACTGTGTCGATGTAGAGGTTTGTTTATCCAGGCACTTACGAGTCTATAGTAACCAGTGTGGAGCCTGGGGAAGCCATAAATGGCCTGGTTGTGGCGAAGGCCTGGAGCCTATGTCGATAGGAGCCATGGAGGTTGGAGGCATTAGATCTTAGAGCCATAGGGGAAGGCCTGGAGCTTGGGTTGACAGGGTCTGTCCCATAGCCTGTGGCTATAGAAACCTGCCTGGTGTTGAGTTCACTGAATTGTGCCTGGCATTGGAGTTGATGTTGAAGTCAGGTGTTACATTTACTCTCCTCTCTGCACATACATGGTATCTCTTTCCATGCTGCACTACCCAGGTTTAGGGGCGGGGTAATGCAGATAATAGAAAACTCTCTTTTATACTCTATTTTATGCCGTTTTTCTTACTTTTCTACTCCACAAACGTGCTATAACCTCTCACCTGGATTCCTTGTCTCTTTTGAAGACACTTTGATGCACGGATGGCTGTTCAAATTGATGTTTCTGTGAAGGAATAAGTGCTGAAAAGTTCTGTTTTGCCATTTTGTCCATGGCATTCTTCTCTGTTAACTGAAAAAATATTTTTACTGAATAACATATTGTTAAAAATTGTCAGACCCTTGGTTTAGCTCTGGAAGTTTCTCCTTTAGAGCAAGTTCCTTTCATAGTTCTCTATAGAAAGACTATAGTTGTAAAATGTTGGTAGAGATGATATTTTGTGTGTAGAATTAAGGACCGATTACACATAAATGTTTAGCGGACAGTAAACATTTGTGAGTAATCTGTTCTTACACACAAAAAGAAGGTCTATAGCTTTAGGAAAGGGAAAATTATCAAGGTTATTCAGACAATATAAAATGAGTTGAGAAAATTGAAGGGAATGTTTATACTTGAATGAGACCTCATGGAGAAAGACAAAATAAGGAAGCCATGGGAGAATATTTGCATTCTCGGAACCACAAAAGTGAGGAAAGCCAAGAGCACAGCTGGAGTTGCACCAGATCAAGTAGACATTCCATCAGAGCCTGAACTGAGAATGCACCATTCCTAGTCACCTTGATAACAGCCCCATTTTCTGTTAATAATACTCTATGAGAAAAATCTTGCAAAAATAGTCAGAAAAGGCAGAGTCACATGCGGTTCAGTGTGTTCCACCTTGGCAGACGGTCTTAGGAGGAGTTTTGGAAGGATCGTGCTGCAGGCAATGGATGAGATAATGATGAGAAATTTTCCAGCTCTGTATAAAAAGGCAAGCGAAATATATGCTTGTGAATTTTTGGCTGCTTTTTTATGCTGTATTTTCAGATCAATTTTATCCCAGTTAATGTGAATATAAACTCTGATTGTTATGGTTATCTCTCGTGGGGTGTCTATTATTTTGTCAGAAATTGTATCAGGAACTTTATATCAATCACTAAATTACACATTTCCAAGCTGCATATGAATTAGGTATTACTATGATCATTTTACAGATGAAGAAGATGAGACTCAGAGCAATACATAAGTTGCCCAAGGTCAGAGAGCAAGTAAGTACCAGAAATAAAAGCCAGATAAATCTCATTCCCATATCCTTGCTCTTTCAATGATGTTTCAGAGTTGATTACAAAAAGAATTGTTCTGTGTGCTCAGGATAATTTACTACCTACTAAATTTAACCATAGGGCAGTCTTATAAACAGGGTAGAGTATGCAGTTAAGATAAAATTTGAGAGGAAAAAATTAAATTAAAATAGTATATAACCAATGATCAGAATATTCTCTCAGTATTTTAGAAATTTATGTAAGAATAAACTAGATACTGATAAAAAAGTCACATTCTTTATGCACAAATCTTGTAAGTAGCTACTGTTAAAGAGAGGATATTATTTACCTAGAAGAAAGTGGGGTTGTCAACCACTATATAACCATTCGTGGGGTGAATGTCTTTTTTATTTTAGGCCTCTGGCTGATGGATCCAAGAGGTAGATACGTGATGTCAAAATATTCTCTTTTATAGGTAATTACAATTTACAATGGAAGATACAGAGGCCACAAGGTAGTAGAGTTGAGTTATATTAACAGAAAACCTTGTTAGAGAAAAGAACCACCTCTCACTATCATGTTCAATGGCAAAGATTAATAGAAGGTACAGCAAAATGGACACACATGCGAGTATACCCACATTGATATTGGAAGTAACTTTTTTCTTATATACTATAAATCATATCCCAGAATATACTCATAATGTGTACACTTATTGGGATATTACAATCAACGTACAAAATATGTACCTTATGTACATTGACTGTGATGTACATATGTGTACACAATACAGATGTACAAAAAATGTACATAATCTGTACAATATTACATTTATATGTACATAATGTGTACACAGTAGGTATGTACATAATGTGTACAATATGTAAATATATTGTAATACAATGATTTCATATAATCACAACAGCATATATAATCACAATACACATATAATACATGATATCAATATAAATGTACATATTGCACACATTATATACATTTACATTTATTGTGATATTACGATATGTACACATGTACATCATGCACACGTGCAGATTTGCGGTATATACACGTGTACGTAAGTGCACAGTATGTACATATGTACACTACACATATGTTCATATAATGAAGATATGTACCTTCTGTACAGGAGTACACAGTATGTACAATATGTACACGTATATACTAGGTACACATATAGGTGTATACCCACTTTGGTAACCGGAGAGATTTCTATCTAATATACTAAATATAAAATCCCAGAATGTAGTCATAGTGTGTACATTTATTGTCGTATTGTGATAAATGTATTAAATAGGCACAATCTGTACATGTACTCTGCTGTACATAGGTGTACACAATGCACATGTACAAAAAATGTACATAATCTGTAAAATATGTACCTATATATTTCTATAATGTGTACACAATGCATAGGTACATAATGTGTGCACTATGCACATTCCTTAAAATATCAGTGATAAAATATATATAATCACAGTAAGATATATAATCACACTAATACATATATGTCGTGTAATATCACCAAAAGGTACGTATTGTACACATTAGGTATGTATTAGGTACATATGTATAGTGCACATATTATGAAAATATATATGTATCATGATAACACCGTATGTACACGTATACAAATATGTGCCTACTATTTAAACAATGTACACATGCAGAAATAGGTGCAAACTACATGCCTATGCACAGCAGGCTATCACTACAGTTCTGCTCGTAGCAGCCTCAATGCCCACCCTGGCTGCTTAAAGACCCCCTGGCTAGGGGGCTGTGGGTACAGCTGCTGGGGCCCGGCTATTTTGAAAATGTGGTGTAATATGATACTGGCAACCTATCACACAGAAATGATAATGTTATTGTGGTTCTTTACATATTAGGCAATAGTTCTAGTTACACATTTGGCATATTGACAAAAATGTCATCCTCACCCCATTGACATTAGAATTGAAAGCATAGGAGGGTTTCACCCCTTGCAATGTTTAATTCAATATAATTGTTTTCTTGTTTACATTAGTGACCATATCAGAGCACGGTGTACATCTCTTGCAGTATTCAGAATATTTCTCTATGGGCAGCAACATTTTTCTCTCCTTATCTGGATATTAGGAAGAATATCACAGGACCGGCTTACAGCGCCAGTCACATCGTGAGCAATGTCATCTGTAATCCCCTAGTTATTAAGAACAATGTAACGGGGGTCTCGTGTGCTTTTGGAGATATTTGGAGTAATATCCTTTTAGTTTCTGGATATTAGAAACAATACTACAGTGGTGGTGTACACTTCCTGCGATATTAAGAGTATACTCATCCTCTGTCCCTGGGATATTAGGAACTACATCGCAGAAGCGTTGCACTTTGCCTATAATATTGGAACAATCACAGAGTGTACACCTTCTTTCATTGTGAGAGAAATACCTACTTAGGATATGATGGATAATATCACAAAATGGACACACATGGGTATATACCCACTGTGATATTGGAGGTCATTTTTATCTAATATACTAAAAGTCATAACCCGGAAAAAACTCATAATGTGTAGACTTATTGGGATATTACACTCAATGTACAGAATATGTAACATATGTACATTGACTGTGATGTACATACATGTACACAATACAGATGTACAATAAATGTACATAAACTGTATCATTTGTACGAATATATGTACAAAATGTGCACACAATAGGTATGCACATAATGTGTACAATATGTACATTTATTGTAATATCACAATGTTATATAATCACAACTGCATATAAAATCACAATACACATGTAATATGTAATATCAATATAAATGTACATATTGCAAACAAGATGTACATTTACATTTATTGTGATATGATATGTAACATGTACATCATGTACCCATTATGTACAGATGCACAATATATGCAAGTGTACATATGTGGGTACAGTATGTACATATGTACACTACACATGTGTACATATAATGTAGATATGTACCTTCTGTACCCGAGTACATTCTATGCACAATATGTACACATATAAACGATGTACACACCTGGGTGTACAACCACTTTGGTAACCGGAGAAATTTCTATCTAATATACAAAATATAATAATTCAGAATGTAGTAATAGTGTGTACATTTATTGGCATATTGCAATAAATGTATAAAATAGGTACAATCTGTACATTTACCCTGCTGTACATATGTGTACACAATGCACATGTACAAAAAATGTACATACTCTGTAAAATATGTACCTACATATTTCTATAATGTGTAAACAATGTATAGGTACATAATGTGTACACTATGCACATTCCTTAAAATATCAGTGATAAAATATATATAATCAAAATAACGCATATAATCACAGTAATATATATATATCATGTAATATCACAAAAAGTACATATTGTACACAGTAGATACGCATTAGGTCTATATGTATTGTGCACATATGTACATATATATTTATCATAACACCATGTGTACACTTATACAAATATGTGTTCATTATTAAAACTATGTACCTAGGCCGGGCGCGGTGGCTCAAGCCTGTAATCCCAGCACTTTGGGAGGCCGAGGCGGGTGGATCACGAGGTCAGGAGATCGAGACCATCCTGGTCAACATGGTGAAACCCCGTCTCTACTAAAGATACAAAAAATTAGCTGGGCATGGTGGCGCGTGCCTGTAATCCCAGCTACTCGGGAGGCTGAGGCAGGAGAATTGCCTGAACCCAGGAGGCGGAGGTTGCGGTGAGCCGAGATCGCGCCATTGCACTCCAGCCTGGGTAACAAGAGCGAAACCCCTGGCTAGGGAGCTGTAACCACATTCCCCGCCAGAGGGCCCGTAACAGCTCCCAGGCTGACGCTGGCTGCTTAGGGACCCCCCGGCTAGGGCGCTGTGCCCGGCTATTTTGAAAATGTGGTGTAATATGATGCTGTCGACCATATCATATGGAAATGATGTTATTCTGGTTTTTGATATACTAGGCAATAGTTCTAGTTACACCTCTGCCATATTGACAAAAATGTCATCCTCACACCCCTGGACATTAGAATTGAAATCATAAGGGGGTTTCACCCCTTGCAATGTTAAATTCAATAAAATTGTTTTCTTGTTTACATTAGTGACCATATCAGAGCACAGTGTACTCCTCTTGCCGTATTCAGAGGATTTGCCTATGGGCAGCAACATTATTCTCTCGTTCTCTGGATATTAGGAACAATATCACAGGACCGGCGGACAGCCCCAGTCATATCGTGAGTAATGTCATCTGTAATCCCTTAGTTATTAGAAAAAATATCACGGGGGTCTTGTGTGCTTTATCAGATACTTGGAGTAATATCTTTTCCGTTTTGGATATTAGACACGATACTACAGTGGTGGTGTACACTTCCTGCGATATTCAGGGTATAATAATCTTTTGTCCCCAGGATATTAGGTAGTACATTAAAGAAGCCTTGTACTTTGCCTGTGATATTGGAACAATCACAGAGTGAACACTTGCTTTCAAAATGAGAGTAATACCTACTTAAAATATGATGGATAATATCAAAAAATGGACACACATGGGTGTATACCCACTTTGATATAGAAAGAAATTTTTATCTAATATACTAAAAATCATATATCACAATATACTCATAATGTGTACACTTATTGAGATGTTACAATCAATGTGCAGAATACATACCATATGTACATAGAGTGTTATGTACATATGTGTACACAATACAGATGTACCAAAAACGTACATAATCTGTACAATATGTGCAATTACAGGTACATAATGTGTACACAATAGGTATGTACGAAATGTGTGCAATATGTACATTTATTGTAATATTACAATGATATCATATAATCACAACAGCATATAAAATCACAATACACAAGTAATACATAATATAAATGTACATATTGCACACATCGTGTACATTTACATTTATTGTGGTATCACGGTGTGTACACATGCACATCATGTACCCATTATGTACACATGTACAAAATATGCACATGTACATATGTGTGAACAGTATGTACATGTGCACACTATGTACACATAAATACATATAATGTTGACATGTACATTTTGTACATGAGTACCTAATATGCACAATATGTACACGTATAAACTATGTACACACCTGGGTGTACACCCACTTTGGTCAATGGAGTAATTTCTAATATGGTAAAAATTATATTTTAGAATGTACTCATAATGTGTACATTTATTGGCATATCACAAGAAATGTATAAAATAGGTACAGTCTGTACATTTACTCTGCTGTGCATAGGTGTACACATACACATGTAGAAAAAAGTGTACATAATCTGTAAAATATGTACCTATATATTTCTATATTGTGTACACAATACATAGGTATATAATGTGTACACTATGCACATTCCTTAAAATATTAGTGATAAAATATATTTAATCACAATAAGATATATAATCACAGTAATATATATTGTCTAATATTACAAAAAGTACATATTGTACACATTAGGTATGCATTAGGTACATATGTATTTTGCACATATTATGTAAATATAAATTTATCGTGATAACACCATATGTATGCATGTACATATATATACCCGATATTAAAACTATTTACACATGTAGTAATAGGTGCAAACTATGTACCGATGCACAGCACGCTATTACCAAAGCCCCCCTTATAGCAGCCCCCAGGCCCAGCCTGGCTGCTTAGAGACCCCTGGCAATTGGGCTGTGCCCACAAACACTGCTCGAATGCCTGTAGCAGCCCCCATGCCCACCCTGGCTGCTTAGGGACCCCCTGACTAGGTGTCTGTGCCCACAGCCCATGCCAGAGTGCCCGTAGCGGCCCCCAGGCCAACCATGGCTGCTCAGGGACCCCTGGCTGGGTCGATGTGCTCACA